TCATCCTGACATCTAGAGTCAAAGCCACCACTTGAGTTCTTGCAGCCTGAGGCTGCTATCCTATCTACAGGAAGAGTGGCAGGGTTGTGTAGGAGTGGCCAATGTTTCCTTCTGCAAAGCGCATCCCACGGCTTCCAGGAGTCATACTTCATGAGATACTTCTAGGACATGTTAATTTTTAACTCTCAGTTTACTAAGGAGCAAAGCCATGCACAGGAGGCCTCGGTGTTTCTTCTTCCCCTTGCTCATACCTAGTGTTGGAAGCTATAATTTCTTTTCTACATTTTCTCCCTGTTCTGTGTTTTCTCCCCGTTTGGCCTATATCAGTGTCTCATCTCTCTGACTCACAGTAAGGGACAGACATACCTGAGTTTGTTAATGTCATTTTGGACAAATTCGATTTCTACCCAACATCTTAGATTTTTCATCTCTGATACATGGTGACAACAATGGAATCCGAACACCTAGGGTTTATGGTGAGGATGAAATGGTATGTGTGAAAGTACTCAGTAGACTCTGTCTAACTAGGAAGTTATCTATTTATATTCATTTACTTGCTATCTCACTATTTAGGTACTAGTTTTGTCCTCCATAAATTCAGTTCCTTCTGGTGTTAGAATTCGTTGATTCTAGGAAACTCAACGGAATGCTGAGGTAGACCTTTTCAGGGTTCAAAGTTCAAGGTTAGAAGGGTGGGCTTTCCCCCATGTTTCAAATCACCTTAGGTCATGTGGTTACACATTTTCATTGCTTGGTTGTTAAAAAAAGTCAATCTAATTTCCCATCTAGACATATCAACCACCCATGTGAAAGGATAGTTGTTTCCCTGTGGAGAAAAATGAATGGGTGAGACTTAGGGGAGCAAGGTAGCATAGAGAGTAGCTGGGTACACAAAGGCTAATGCAGAGAGGCCTTTGGAGGACTGATGGGGCAGGGAGGGGATGGGAACCATGGCGCCAAAAGGGACCAAAAGGAAAAAGTACAATGTGAAGGACAATGAGTGGCATGAATCTAAGATTTTCTTTCTGTTACAAACCCAGAGAAGCCTCAGTGTCTAATAAGAGGTTTGGTGTTCACACCTCTTATTTGTGCTTAGGTGTTCAGATCAGAAGTCAGAAGGCTGAGTTGCTGAAATCCCTGGTGCATCACCTTTTGGCTACATCTTGCACAATTTTTGAGACTTTCTCAACGTGTTTCTTTATCTGTAAAGTGGTAATAATAGGCCAAGCTTAATAGAGTGGTTGAGAGGATCAAATGAGAAATGTGCCAATGAGCTTAGCTTCTTGTTTGGCACCTAATAGGTATTCAAGGTCACCATCATCAGAATCAACCACAATGCTGCCATCGACTTCATTATTATTACGCTTGCCCAGAGCCATAAGGCTAGAAGATTCTCATAGTTTATGGGGCCTGTTTCAATGCCAGTACCAGAATGGTGGTGCTTCTCAAGAATCACGCCAAATAAGAAGCAAACCAAAAAGATCAGGAACTAAGCAGAAAAGATACCAGAGATAGCAATGGTTATCTTCCAACTTCTTTTCCAACCACTAAGTTAATGTCAAAACTTGCATTTTTGTTGATTAACGTATGAGTAGAGTCTGTGTCCCTAGTGCTTGCAAGGTAAGTGAGGTTTGCTTACCGCTGGCTTGGCATGAGCAATGTGCTCAGGCAACTACTCAACAAAGTAGAATTTCCACAAAATACTTCATCTGAATCACCTGGAGCCAACAATAGGAAGGATGAAATTTATAGAAAGAGTCATTATTGCTCTCTATGCAAAGCATGTTCACAGATAATATATTCCTTAACTTTCACAGAAAACCCTTTGCAGAGAATAGTTCACAAGAGTGATAGGGCATGGAGGGGGGATAGCCAGCATTATTATGATGTCAATTTAAGAGATGAGAAAAATGAGATTGATAAAAGAAAATTCAAGTCCCTGAGCTCATATTCTAGATAAGGAAGTAAATCCGAGTTATTTAATTTCTAATCTGTGTTTTTTGGAATAATATCAGCAAGAGGATGGAAGAGGAAGCCCCCATTGGTGCCCTGATTGAACAACAATATGCAGCTACATTCCCATTTATGAGAAATTCAATAACTATTTGAGATGTTCTTGCTGAGGAGAATTTTGAAAGCAGCAAGAGAAAAATCACTCATCAGGTATAGATCAACCTCCATAAGATAATCAAGGAATTTCTTAGAAGAAACCTTACACCTCTAGGAACTAGAAAAAGAACAAACTAAGCCCCAAAGTTAAAAACTAAGGGTTTTTTTTTTGAAAGATAAATAAAATTCACAAACATTTAGCTAGACTAGGAAAAAAAGAAAGAAGACTCAACTAAGTAAATCAAAGGCACGCTTTTCTGCTTCTCTAATGCTGCCTTTGAATTCTGGACACATCCTTCTTGAAATGATTTATTTTGTATCCCACAAAGAATATTTGGGGACTCTTTCTCTGAACCATCATTTCATTTCTATTCAGAATAAAGGGAAGACAGCATGACAGGGGAAAAGAGAGGAAGAGGCAGGCTACTCTGTTAAGGTTCATTTTTGGTAGAGGTGGGACTCTCTAGGGTATGGAAGAGTCAAAGGGTAACTGGATCCCAGAGAGGACAGAGAGAAGCACACTCATTAGAGACAATGTTCTCTTCTTAGGGACAACAGATTCAAGCTGCATTCCTATGGGCACTGCGAATTGTCTTGGGAAGATCTAAGGCTGGCATAATACCTCTAATGCTATTTCTAGAGTGTGCTAAAGTTCTAGAAATGAGCTGAGAGAAATTTCTAGAGACTTTGAGATAAGGTCACCATGGATACAAAGATGGATGTGAGTACCTCATTCTGGTTTTTCCTTCTTGGTGAATCTGAGGTATTATGCTTCATATTTAGGCTTAACACTTCCCACCTGGACTATTATGCTGCTGGACTGTTCTCAACAAAATTTTCCTTGTATGGGGTAGGAGTGTTTGCCATACCTTTTGTGTGCGGGACACAACCACCAGAGGGACTCTACTTAACAAAATCAAGTATTTTGACCTGGCTGTTTTTACCCTCACTTTAACCTGAAATAAATTTACTTAAATTTTTTTTTTCCTTCAAGATATGTCTTATTTTTTTCATCTTTAGAGAGATTGTTGTTCCATTGCAGGTTGGCAATCTTTTTTATTTCAGGCTTTGAAGGCCCTATAGTCTGTTGCAACTACTCAGTTCTGCCAGTATGGTGCAAAAGCAGCCATGCATGTGATCTAAATGAATGGGTATAGTTGTGTTTCATTAAAACTTTATTTGTAAGAAATGCTGCAGGCCTCACTTGGCCAATGGGCCATGGGTTTCTGATCTCCCCCTTTAGTGCTATTTCCATTCATCCACCTGGTTCCTATTTTGTGTCCTCACTTTCTAACCATGAACATACAACTGTTTTCAATTTTTCCACAGGTTGCCAAATTCCCTAAACCCCAACCAATAGCAATGTTCAGTATCCTGGCCGCTAATAGAGAATGAGTCCCTGGTATAAGAATGGTCCGGTATAAGGACCAGTTGAACTGAATGCTAAATCATGGATGGACTTGTTCCACTTGGAACAGTGAATACCCAAAACTCTATTTTGAGGAAGTATAGTTGGTAGGATCTTATGGGTGTGGAGTTGCTGATTCCCAGTCATCTCTACCCCATGTTTCTGGCTGTCCTCCCTTTTGAGTTATGGCAAAAGCCTTTTGGGGCTGTAATAATTCTGTCTCCTTTGAAGCAATCTGATGAAACTCTGATTTCACCAACCACCAGCATTCTGGATGAACCTGGTATGACACAAGTTGAATGGAACAGTTTCATAAAATGAGGAGGGACACTTTGGAAGCATCTAAGTGGCATATTTTGGAGAAAAATTAGCTAAAGCATTGGGAAATGAAACTATGCTGTATGCCAAACCTCCACCCATCATTAAGGGTATAAATGAACCGTTGGGGAAGGAGAGACTCAAATCTCATCCACATCCACTTCCAGCAGCTCACCTGCTCTTGCATTACCTGTCCCAGCCTCCTGTCTGGGGCCCAGAATAGACCTGCCAAAGTTAGCTAAGAGGCCCTATGAGGGCCCCCTATAAGGGTCTCCTATGAGGGCCTCCATGAGGGCCCCCTGTGAGGGCCTCTTCAGTGATAACGAGAAGTGGATCATGCAGTTCCTGAATGACCGCCTAGCCAGGTACCTGGAGAAAGTGCGCCAGCTGGAGCAGAAGAACATAGAGCTGGAGAGTCACATCTGGGAGCACAGCCAGATGGGCCAAGCGCAGGAGCTCTTGGTGTGCCCCAACTCCCAGTCCTACTTCTGCACCATCAAACAGCTACAGCAGGAGGTGAGAGATGGGCCATGTGGGAGCCCAAGAGCAGCTGGCTTTCTTTGAACAATATGACATTCTCAAGTTCAAGGGCACCTCACAACAGAAATTTCTTTTCAGATTCTGTATGCCAAAGCTGAGACTGCCGGGCTGGAGGTCAAGACTTACAATGCCAAGCTGGCCTCTGATGGCTTCAGAACCAAGTATGTTGAGCTTTTTGATCCAGAAGGCCAAGGTACCTGTGGCTATTTCATGGCCATATGGGCATCATGTTGCCTAGAAGGGAAGAAAGATTCACTTGTCCTTTCTTATTTCTCCTCTTAAGGCAGACTGCATAACACCACTTTCAAACAGTAGTCTACACTCACGTACTGCCTGCTCTTCAGTCTATACTATTCTTTCTGGAAGAGCCTCTTAAATTCAGAGATTGAAATGAGTTCTTTTGGAGGGAATGGATTAGTGTGTAGTATTTTAACCAATAAAATTGAGAGCAGAGTGAGAGACATGTCATGTGTACGTGTGATGTTAGGTGAGATAGGGGGCCTCTCTAACCTGTCTGGGTTTGAGAGAAACACAGGGAAGAACAAGGAAGAAAACAGTATAAGTTTAAAAATATCCCAGCAAGATACAGGAGAGGAAGGAGGGGCTTCTTTTCTGGCTCATCCTCTGATCTGTGTTCAGGTATGAGACGGAGCTGTCCCTGCGGCAGGTGGTAGAGGCCGACATCAATGGTCTGCGCAGAATCCTGGATGAACTGACCCTGTCCAAGTCTGACCTGGAGGCCCTAGTGGAGTCCCTGAGGGAGGAGCTGCTGCACCTCAAGAAGAACCATGAGAAGGTGAGAAGAATGAGAGACACACCAGCTTCTGAGTTGAGTCTGTGGCATGGGCAGCCAGGAGGTGGTCACTGTGAGGTTGCTTGGCCTGGGCCCTTCCCTGCAGAAGTCAAGGTTGGCTCAGAGAATGACAATGCTAGACCCAGATGGAGGAGTGGGTGATCTGCTAACTGTCAAGCAGCTGGTGAAGGTTTGGCAGGGGTGGGACTCAGCTCACTGCTGGTCACTGTTAAGTCCTGAATTTGAGGGTGGAGATGGAAGAAAAAAGGGAAATAAGACACACCTCCCTTTCAGGAGCTCACAGTGTGGCGTGGAGAGATAGGCATGTACACACAGTGACACAAAGAAGGCAGGGGAATAAGCAGCATGTGAGATGGACCAGCAGCTTGCTCTAGGAGTGAGCCAGCTGTGGGAGAGGAGGTGAGCCTTAGCTCAGCTGCTAGGAGGAGTCTTTCAGTCCTTGGGTGTTTCAGCTGGGGGAGCAAAGGCACAGCAGTGGCAGAGCAGGGCATATCTGAGGTTGGCTGGGGCCACATAGTACCTATGGGACTTGATGGGATGTAAGGCAGGACTTGCACCTTCCAAGTCCTACCTTAATCTTATGGGAAACGTGACATTTCAGCTTTTTTGGGGGGAAAGGTATTGATGTGATCCCTATTCAGGTTAACTGGTACTATGTGAAATGTGTTAATCTTTGGGAATGATCAGGATGTATGTATATTTCAGTGCTTTTTTGGCAGGGTTGTGCTTACTTGCTTAGAGCAGGAAGATAGTAGATCCACTGCTGTGGGTCAATCTTTCCCCTTTCTCCATCAGGAAGTCAAAAGTCTGAGCACCCAGCTTGGACACCGCCTCAATGTGGAGGTGGACGCTGCCCCCGCCTTGGACCTGATCCAGGTTCTGAACAAGACTAGAAGTCAATACGAGACCCTGATGGACACCAACCACAGGAAAGTGGAGGAATGGTTCACCAGGCAGGTGGGCATCTAAGCTTGTGGCCACTCAGACCCCAGAGCCCCCAGGGTCCCTAAGACAGTATCTGATCCTGTCTCCTCCCCTTGGATTTTTCAGACTGAGAAGCTGAACAAGCAGGTGGTGTCCAGCTCAAAGCAGCTGCAGTCCTGCCAGGTGGAGGCCATTAAGCTGAGACCCACGGTCAATGAGCTGGAGAGTGAGCTGCAGACCCAGCACAACCTAGTGAGTGTGGCTCAGACCAGCTAGAGAACAGGGGCAGGTCGGGAGGAGGGGTTCCAGGGTCATGGGGATGGTCTCTGGGGCACACAGTCTCCTTAGCTCTGGGATCATGGGACATCTATGGAACACTACGGAGAAACCTTTTAAGGGGCAGAGCTATATGACATTCTTTATCTGTCCCCCATCCATCCCCAGAGAAACTCCCTGGAAAACACACTGACAGAGACCGAGGCCCGCTACAGTTCCCAGCTGGCTCAGATGCAGTACAGGGTGATCAACGTGGAGGCCCAGCTGGGGAATATCCGCCGTGACCTGGAACGGCAGAACCAGGAGTACGAGGTGCTACGGGATGTGCGGGCCTGGCTGGATGGTGAGATCAAAACATACCGGGACCTGCTGGAGAGCTAGGACTGCAAGTGAGTAGGGGTCACATGAAGTTGTTGTGGGGATGAGCAGTCTTTTTGATGGAAATGAATTTATAGTTCCAAGCTTTTTGTTGGAGACAAGCAAGAATGAACCTTTTACCGGGGCCTGCTGGAGAGCAAGAACTGCAAGTGAGTACCTAGCTAGGTGTCTGAGGATGCTGCACACATCAGTATTCTGCTCAGTTGGGCACTGTGCTAAGGTTGTACAGCTCACCAAGGAAATTTGCCCTCACTCTAGACATGCTCAGACAGAATCTGGAAAACATAACATGGCCATCATTTCAAACCTAAAATGGTTTGCTAGCAAGAATTGTTTGCTATATAAACTGTACAGCCGAATCTTTGCATTCTACTGGGCTGACATGTATGATCTCATGCTATGCAGTCAATGCCTTAGTTTTTACAAATCTGCATTGTGGAGGGGGTGCACCTCTACACACAGAAGGGGGTGCCTTATTTGGCCTCATGTTAATAATTATCACTAGGTAGCCTGGATGACTATTTCCCTCATACTTGAGGTGAAGGAACTGGGCTTGGAGAAGGTAACCTTGCTCAAGGTCACCAGCTAGAAATGGCCAGTTTTGAGAGCAGAAATCAGGGTTTCAGAGTCTCTGTTTAGCACCTTGGCACCCTATGACTGGGAGGCCATCAGTGATGTGGTATTTACCTGCGTAGGTGGGAGCCTGCACCTTCTCTACGTGGGGCCAAGTCTTGGTGGGCTTTGCACTCCTTGGGTCTCTCTTGTATGTAGTTTTGAATCCCCCCGCTTGCTTTTTTACATTATTCTTTTGTCTCCAGGCTGCCTTGCAACCCTTGTGCTACATACAACCAATGTGTGAGGCAAGCTGATGCGGTCTCTCATCCCCAGTCCCTGTACCCCCTGCACCCCTCCTGCCCCCTTAATTCCCTATGCCCCATGTCCCCACTGTGGGCCCTGCAATCCTTTGCATTAGAACCCCGGTGAAACCAGAGGTGGGAGGATGTGGGCCCAGAGCTACAGAGCTTGCACCAGGCTGAGCTCATTCAATGACAATGAATACACAGTTTGCTGAAGCGGCCCCTCTAAGGCAGTGAAGAAACACACCTGAAGCCTCCAGCCTCACCCTTGCCTTCCCAGAGTCTGTTCCTTCCTTGGCCTGTCCAGAGATTTCTCTGCCATGCCAGCCAATGGCCCTCCCTTTTAACCTCCTAATAAACATCATTTCCCTGGCAAAGTAGACGCTGCTCTCATTCATATTCATTTGTTTCAATGTGCTCATCACTCTCATACTCTATAAAAAGCCACTTGAAAGATGGCCATAAATGGTCTGACTCTTGGGTATAAGAACCATTTCATGCCTGAGCAGATGGCTGGCCTGGAGCCCTGGACCCACAGGTGAGGCTGCCAGGCTAGCAAGAAGGAGGGTGGGATGGTTGCAAAGCTGCTGTCCCTGTCTCCTCTTGACCATTCTGGAATTTCTCCCTTGATCTGAATGTCTTCCAGAGCTGCTTGTGTCCAAATGTGAATGGAGGAGGCATGAGTGAACTGGGGGCTGGACGGAAGCTCTGGAAAACTCATCTTCATCCAGTAGGAGTTCTGGGTCCAGTGCTGTATCATTCTGGGTTATCATAGGTCTAGATGGTCCCAGCAAAGGGAGCTTCTGGCTTTCCATATTATGCCCAGGACTCCCTTCTTTTCCTTGTGTGGGTTGATCATCAGCCTGGGCTACCATCTTCTTTCTGCCCCTTCTCGAATGTGGGTCTTAGAGAGCCCATCAACTCTTCCCTTGAAACATCAGCCTTTCTCAGTTCAATCCATTTGATATCTGTTGAGTACTTATTTAGTGCAGACCATAGGAGGTGGGGTGAGAAGATGGTTCTTGGCTGCAAGGTATTCACAATTTGCTCAAAGGGAAAAAACTAGTTCCCAAGTAGTGCCACAGTAAGTCTGAGGCCCCAGCACTGTGAACAACTACGTGGGTGATAGAAGGGGCTGGATGGCATCAGAGTTTGTCAAGAAAGGACATCTTTAACCCCAGGGATGACCTATGGAGGGTGTACTTCCCGGAACCTCTGAGGGCTCTGACTTTCCCATTCACCTTCCTCCCACATGAGGCTTTCCAAGGCAGGTATCAGACTACACTTGGGTGAAACATTAATTTTGTGTTGTAAAATTAATGCATTGAAATTTTATGTATATATGTATATTTATATTTTTGATAAAGCAACTATTCTTTGTCCCACAATTTCTACCTTGAGTCTTGTTTGGAAAACTGAAGTTCTGGGATGGATTCAGATTTGCACACCTTGCCACTTGGTTTGTGAGAAGCCTCTGACCTGGGAATTTGAGGATCATCATGCTGTTTTCTACGGTGGCTGAATAGTCTAACATTCATGCCAGCCATGCACAAAAGTTCCAATTTCTCACATCCTTGTTAACACTAAAATTCTGTGATTTTATTGGTTTTTTGTTGATGATAGTGGTCATCTTAACAGGTGTGCAGTCATGTCTCATTGCGGTTTTGATTTGCATTTCCCGGAGGATTAGTTATGTTGACTCAAGCATCTTTTCCTGTGCTTATTGGCCACTTGTGTATCTTTTTTTTTTTTTTTTCGAGAAATATCTATTTAAATTCTTTGCCTAATTTTTAATTTGTTGTGTGTTTGTTGTTGAATTGTAGGAGTTATTTATAAATTCGGGTGAGTCTTAATCCTCACCAGATATATGATTTGCAAATATATTATCCCAGTCTCTGAGTTGCCCTTTTGCTCTCTTGATAGCGTCCTTTTGGTAGAGAAAAGGTTTGAATTTTGATGTAGTTCATTTTATCTATTTTTTTCTTTTGTGGTCTGTGTTTTGGTTTCATATCCAAGAAATCATTGGCCAAATCCAGTGTTAGGAAGCTTTTCCTTTGTGTTTCATTTAGCTTTTGTGTTGAGGTCTTTGATCCTTTTCTGAGCAAATTTTTCCATGTGGTACAAAATAAGGGTCCACTTCTTTCTTGTGGATAGTTGGTTTTCTCAGTATCATTTCTTAAAAGATCTGTTTTTCCCTCATTGTATGATCTTGGTATTGTAGGTGAAAAGATTTTCTGGGCTCCTTATTCTGTGCCAGTCATCTGTAAGTATGTCTTTATGGGAGAACCAAACTCCCTTGATTACTATAGCTTGGTATTAAGTTTTCAAATAAAAGCGTGAGTTCTACAACTTATTTATGTTCCCTGGGCTTCAAACAAGTCAAACCCATATTCAAAGCACAAAGTTTTGCTATGAATAAACTGGATATGAAACAGATATGGACATTGCCAAAACAAAAGTCTCAAAACATGCTTTGAACAGAGATATCATTGCTGGAATAAAGAAAAGTTCTGGCCAGAGAAAAATCTTACAGGATTTGTAAATTCTGCCATGTTGTCTAAAAACCAAAAATCTCAATCTGTTTAGCTTTGCCATAATTTTCTAAATAAGCATGTTCTATCTTTCCTAAACACTTCCACATGGCCTTTAAAATATTTCCAGGTGCTCTGTTATCCTCATCGAACATACATCATAGGAGTGGTTCTCAACCTTGTCTATGATTTGTAATCACCCAGGGAACATAAATCATTTTGAGGACAGAATTTGCCCTCAAAATGTCTGATTTATAATAACTGGTCTGGAATTTAGCCTGCCATGGGGAGTTTCAGAGTGCTGAGGCTTGAGTGAGCCAGGGTGAGACCTACTTAGCAGAACTTGGTTTCTAGTTCTGACTTATTTTCTTGACATCTGTGTCTTTGGACAAGACTCATGGCTTCTCTGAGCTTTATTTTCCTCACGGGTAGAGAGGAGATAACTTTATTTATATACTTGTCAAGAGGAATATAGACAATTGTGTTTATGAAAACACTTTGTAAACAAGATACTTTTATTAA